TTGTTCCATGCAGATGAAACAATGCCTCATCTGTAATGATAACAGAACGAATATCTCCGTGATCCAGAAACCAACGGCAAAATTCACGCCGCTTCTCCGGATCGCATGGGTTCAAAACCTGCACTTGAAGTGTACGGAACCTCCGAAATTTTCGTTCAAGTAATATCCGGTGTATCGCATATCGGGTCGTGTCGCAGTGCTGTGCGATCCGACGAATGCTGAGATGGGAACGTTTTGACAATTCACTGACTACAGCGCAAACTGAACAGTCGTACGTGATGATGGGAGGCGGTCCGGTTCTCTTCATGTCACACATCCCAGTTTGCTCGAACTTCTTCGCTAGTTTAAGCACGTACCGGGTGGTGATGGGACGCATTCCTGCGTTCATTGCATTGTCTTTTCTTGAAGCTGATGCAGCGTTTAAACCGCATTCATCGTACAGTCGAATAATCAGCGTGCGCTGGGTTAGAGAAACGTTACTTGCTCCCGACTGCATTGTCCGCTCGTGCTCCATTACCTGTGATTCAATAACCTTGACAACAGTCGCCATGTCTAACCTCGTCCTCAGCTGAGCTGCCATCACGTGAGCACATGCACGTTGCAGTTTCGATCGCCTAAGCCGAGTTTGCTGCGTAGCCAGCGAGACACCCAGTGATAACCATCGATCGCTCCAGCGACTACGGTTGACCATGACCTTCACTCAGTGCGAAGTTAGCTGACAGCGGGAAACACGTTGTGACTCGCTCGCTGATCAACTGCCTCGTGTCGGTGAGTCTTTAGAGGTTAGGCTTTTCCTCAGCCGAGCCCTGCACTAAATCACTCGTCTGCCGAGAATTCCATACGTCCGCACCACTAAGGTGAGAGAGAAATTCATGTCTTTCTCCGCGCAGTAGCATGTTGTGAATTGCGCTAAACATTGGATGGCTATTGGATGTTGGGGACAACAACCGTAAATGACCGGCGTTCATCATAAGGGAGCCACGGTAGGTAAATGAACGCTAATCGGCCTTCTTCCATCAAACTAACCGTATATATATTTAACACGATTGCCTCGTATCTAACACCTTTTTTGTGCATTACGCGAGTATACACAGTCGTAACGTGACAAATCCCGTAAGTTTTACTCGCAACACATTCTCGGCCTATTAACCTAAAAATACGTTAGTTGGTTTAGCGTTTTCATGTTGCGGACAATTGCCGAGTTGCAATTTACACACTATGCCTCAAGCATAGGCATTAACTCTGTTAATCAATAGCGTTTACTGTTCCTTCTGGTGATGGAGGCGCCGGAACATTGCACGTACACATCTGAGAAGATCTTGTCGCTTACTAGAGCGTTTTGTACTTATGAAAACTATCAGGCAGTTATGCAGTATGTACACATTCTTGGAGAATGGCCAATTCCGTAACTAGAGTCAATGAGTTGATCGATATTAGCTGGTGATATTAAGCGGCTGAATCACGCTTAACCTTCTCTTATTAGCAACTTGTTTACACATTTTAGTAACTAACCACCAGGGTAATTTCCTCAAGTTATGATACTTAACTCAGTGGCTATTTCTTGGACAACTTTGGTTTACCTTATCTCCTACCCTGATCATGTCTACTCTTTAATATGCACTGGTCATTGAGACTTTATTGACCAGCACATGCACAACTAGCTGATGTTATGTGGTATTTAGCAGAACGCATTACAGTGCGGCTATTGGGAGGCAAGTCGAAGACTCGAGTCAGGTTTGTGCTTGCCACCTTACTGGATAACCAGTGCTACACATACTGCCGTCGTTAATAGCAAGTATCACTGATGACATTCTCCATAACGAAAATGCCATACGTTAGGGCTAACGAGTAGATAAATTGTTCGCAAACTCCATTTAGCCTAGCTTACAATTTACTAAATTCAGTTTCTTGATCACGTCAGTTAAGTTCACTGCAATATCCCATTGAGGCGGTTAGATTGGTAATTGCACGTTCTTGTAGCTATTCGGAAGCAGCAGTTTCATGTCGGACACCATAATTCTGTTCCTCCTCGGAGGGAAACTATTGGCTGATTACTGTATCCCTCAATAAATGGCATACGTCTCACAATCTACCGTGCGTGTGACAGTGACCTAGACGAGTGTAGTTGTGCGTATCCTGTCTACACATTAGATACAGTGCCATTAGACTCAAGGGCTTGTATTTCTCTTCCATGCCAATCCAACTTGGTGAGCCATGTGCCAAATCTGCATTTCGATTGCCGTGGGTTCGTTACCTCTTTCCATCATCCAGCACACTTGTCCATGTTCGGGGAAGCTGACAGTGATCGGCTATGTGCGACAACCAGTCGATTTGTGGCAGTCAGCGCAGCACTGTAGGAAAGCTTTGTTGCACACATTAACCCAACTGTCTGGTTGCTCTTTGGCGTATGGCCTGGAATACAGCGATCTACACAGGCATATTGTGACAAACACCTTGTAGTAGCAGAGTTAATAGCAACACATTATGATGCCTTTCACCACTGACAGGTTTCGGCCAGGTTGTTCCAATGCTATTATTACCAGCATAGAGCGCTTACTACACAATTAACACCGGGACGACCTGTGCTGATTGTACTTGTCAGAATAATTTGGGTCGTGCCAAGCAATCTGAAAAGACGACGAAAACTGGTAACCAACACATCGGCTTAATACGATGGGTGTCCGGACAAATAGACACCTCTATTTTCAGGCAGCTACCCAATGCGTGTGTTTACCCCCATATCGAAAACGCAGTTCAAGCCAAACAGCCATGGCTGAAACATGATCTTACTGCACTAGACCAACCTCCACCTCGGAGTTCCAAATACGTCATTGGAACGCGCCACCTTCCATGCGAGCAGAGGCTGAAAGTTTCGGAGTATTCTACGAGCGGTGGCCTTGACCACGTGGTGACTTGATTATGGCGTAATTGATTGCACACACTTCAAATAATCTGTGCTGCACTTTACTTCAACTTAGCAATAACACCAAATATACAGGCCACCCCTTGAAAGTAGAAGAAATGTAAAGCCGTCTGGCTTGCCGTAGAAATTGCTTTTCCATTCACCTGTGTCTACCATGCAACCCTCTCCCCGAATCGGTTGTTTCTGCACCCACGTTAGCCATATTTAACGGACGGTTGGCTGACGAACATCGCTACTAAGATTTTGTTAGTTGGCGCTACTCTCCATCTTACTCGAGTGAAATAGCTTGTGTGCTAGCAGTTAGTTGCTTAAACAATGCGGAGGAGCCGGTCGTATCCAGGCGGGCCAATCACGGGCTACGACTGCAGGCGTGTGTGCTACCGGATAGCCGCTTGAAAGAACGGAACTTGGACGCATACGGCAAATCGGCCAATCAGGTGCACGCATCAACAAGCCAAAGCAAGGAAGCGCGGTTGGATCATTGGCGGATCGGTTTACCCGGGCACCCAGAGGAGATAGGGATGACAGAGCAGACATACAAAGCGGAACTACCGTACCCAGCAGTGGCTCAAAGCGAATAAACGAACACGGAGATGAAGCCAACGGATAAGCCGTGAGTCGGACCAATGAACGAAATGTGATGCGGAAGCCGCAGCGGTCCATGTCGGCAGACAACCATTCCCCTTTGTGTACAGTATTAAAGGATGCCCTGATTCTTCAATAACAGAGTCTGATCGTTGCCAAGATTTTCTTTCGACTCTTGGCAGGCGCTACACGACACCTCGGATTTGTTCTTTTTTTCGCCTACTGAAGCTAAGGAAACATTCGGATTGCAGGACTACTGCATTACATACTATAACTGCAATCGTGTGACAGTAGAACTACTGACAGCATTTTTTCATTAACGTTTTTCGATAACCCACCAGACTGTCCAATGGGACTTGTAAAGCAATGCTTCTTAACCCGTATAAAATCATCGTCCGGTTTTTATTGTTTATTGAACGCCGTATATCTCTGCACGTTCTTTGACCAACGGTAGGGCCATAAGTGGTCCAGGTTTACTTCATTCTGTAACCGCTTGTTTTGCAACTTTTGCGTTAAGTCGTTTGAGTACCTAGCTGTACCACGCGATTGACACATGATTTGCTGTGTGTGGTTCAGGTGTCATTCAAGAGCATCGTAAATTGATTATCCAGCCAGTTGACGATTGCACCCACTCTACTGGCCTCAGCTTTCCGTTCAGCTGGGTTTATCATTCGTCATTCCAGCACCGAACACGCGATGGTTATGTTACTTGGGATATTGTTGACGTAAAAGCTAAACTAAGAGGGAAAAATAAAAAATTGCTAGGAAATGATAGCGACGCAGTGGTGTTGTTAGCAGAAGGACCAACTAATGTAAACAGCTAACCATTAGCAAGATTTTTGCCGGTCTGCCGTATTCACCAGCTTTTGCACAATCTCTAATCACTAGTACAGCCAATCTCATAGCGTGCATGCAGTACCAAGACCGGTTCAACTGCTATCCAAGTGCTCATAGTGTTTGTTTGCTAACTCTTGTGCTTCTCTCTCCGTGTATTGCGGATATGAACAATGAACAATGATTTATGTCGGGGAAAAGCAGTTGTTTGAAAACTCCAGCAAGATGGGGGGGGGGGGGGTAAACCTACAATATCAAAAGAGAGGTGAGTTGTCTGTTTGCGAGTTTATCCAGCAGATACGCCGCTGAATAATAGTACTGTAGGTGGGAATTGAATGCGGACGACGAGGCAACATGGGGGAGGTTATAGTTGTCGTACTTCATGAGAAAAGTAAGAACAAGAACACTTACGTCTGTACCGCCTCCTCAGGTTTATGTGACATACTAATCCGGTTTGAAGGGATAATTAATATATTTCAATGAAACATAGTCTAGGCAACGAAGTGATGGGGGCCAAGGACTAGACCCGAAGGTGCGTCTTAACCGTCCCTCTCGTGATCAGTTTGTATAGCCATGAACGTCACCAAACCTTTGTTGGCTAATGTACACAGCTCTTCTATATTTTATTATCCTTTCTCATTATCCCTTAATATTTCAGGACCAGGAAGAAATGAGAACATCCTGTGATAATGAGAAGATGCCAACTTCGTAGTGATCGCTCCCACAGTAAAAGACGAATCTCGCTCCTTATTTATTTTTCCAGTTTCAGCTGTATTTTGAGGTTATTCCGAAATAATCTTTCTCCTGTATTTCCTCTCTGCTCCTTACGCAATGGGTAAGCCTAAGAGCCTTGATGATGCGTAGCACAAATTTCCAACATCACAGATTTTTGTGTAGATTCGTCGCAGTTAGACTCAGGAAGACAGCAACCACACATTCAGGAAAGCGCTAGACGGCCGTTTCGTCCTGTTGGGACTCGTCAGTAGCGCGCACCCGAAGAATCCTGCCGGATTCAAACCCACGACCTTAGTCTTGTGAGTCAGCGACTTATGTCACTGAGCCATGGGCGACGGTAGCAGACCGCCATGACTGATATCTAACTGCGATACAGCACGGCTCATCCTCCACTGTCTTGCATCTTATGGATGTGCAGAGCACAGGGCTGGCCTCCAGAGCAACGAGTTCCTTTGCAAGCCGCCGCCAATCGAGGTGGCTTGTAAGCTGCTAGTCTAGCCTAAGCGTCGTTATTGGGTCCGTGGCCAAACAAGCGAAGCATGTCTACCGAAACGTTTGGGCATTGTAAACGGCTCAAATCCACCGTTGCTCTGGTGAGTCATCCACCTGTTACGATGCGAGCAGCACCGTGCTATTCAGCAGGCACCCAAGGAAAACTAGTATGCAACATGTCGGGCTGTTGAGACGGGCTTTCGGACAAACACATATCTCTAAGTTCCGACAGCTACTCAATGCGTATGTTCACCCCATGTCAGATAGACGTTGCAAGCCTGGCATACGTTACGAAAGCTATCCGATAGGACACCATATACCACGACGCGGCCTGTAGTGTTCGAGTATAGAGCACGAGGGTTGTTCACATATTTCGTGGGAACACCTTTCCGTGCAAGTATTTCGAACAGAATCGACCGATCGACTGAATCGAACGCACTCTTGAAATCGAGGAACACACCTATTGTCGGTCTACGGTATGCGTGGTGCTGCTCTAGCACCTGCCGCAAATGGACTACACAGCCACGTCCTGGGCGGAAACCGGCCTGCTCTTCCCTAATCCGAGATTCTCGTTCTACAGTGAGGCGACGAACAATAATCGAGGTCAGTAATTTTGTCACAACTGGCGTTAGGCTAATACCCCTGTGGTTAGAACAGTCTGTGCGACTGACCTTCTTGTATATTGTCACTATAATCGATTCAGTTCAGTGAACCGGGACACTCCCTTCCTTCCTGTTACGTTCGAATATTGAGGTCAGTGCTTTGCAGAGCACCTCACCTCCATCCTTAAATAGTGCACGTGGGAGGCAATCCGGACTAGTGGCACGAAAACGATTGAGCGTTGTGATTGCGTTTCGGACATCAGCCTCCGACGGCGCCTCTAAACTTAGCGTCTACGACTCGTCCTACATCACCTGAGTAGGAAGAGGTCCGGGAGCAGGGGGCCAGTTGAACTGATCTTGAAAGTGTTCCGCCCAACGAGCCATACGGCGCTCCTTATTGTGTATCAGCGCACCTGCGCTGTATCTGATTGTCTCACTGACGCCTGGTTTTCTGGGACCAGTGATGCGGATTAGCTGGAAGAATCTGCGGTAATTGTCTATTGCTCCTGCCTCCTCCATTTCTTGAGCCCCACCGGTACATCAGGCTTCCTTGACAGCACCTAGGCTCTGCTTTAGTTCATGCCTAATAGCCCGTCTGGTCACATTGTGTTCAGAGCCAGCCCGGAGGTGTCTTATAGATTCCAACAGGTTCACCGACCTCTCGGATATCCAGTGACTAGTGCGGTGATGATGGATAGTTCCACAAGCAGATGCTCCTGCGTCGTGCATGGCGGCCAAGAACCTATTCCACTGAAGCTCAGTGTCATTAGGATAAGACAGTAAAAGTTCGGTATGCAGTGCAGCTTGTTAGGCTTGTCTGGCCGATGGCTGAGTTAACTACTCAGTTGCTAATTTGGGAAGATCCTTGCTGCGCCTCCCGGTAAAGCTTATGGAGAAACGACAGCGTACTAAGGCATGATCCAAGTCGACGCAGATACTCCATTACGAGCGGTAATCCAAGATGCAACCACGCCATCTGTAACTTATGGCTATGTGGTCAATTTGAGTCCATCGCTGGCCAGCTACAGGTGGACGCCAAGTGGCACTTCGGCGCCCACTGTGTCTAAAAGCAGTGCTAGTAAGAAACAACTGGTGCTCCGCACACAGTTGCAGCAGACGCTAGCCGTTGTCAGTCCGTTCGGAGTTAAGTCCATAATTACCACCCAGCTGAGCTTCTGAAGAGCTCAGCCGCCCTACTTGTGCCTTCATATCCCCTGCAAGTACTATAATATCTGAACTAGTAGCACTGCGTAGTAGGGCGTTCAGTTCGTGATAGAAAGTGTCTTTGACAGCATTAGAACTGCAGTCGGTGGGAGCATAAGCGGAAATCACAAACAAACAGCGTTTTGTACTACTTCGTGAATCAAACTTAGCTGATGTCGTCAAACGGGCTGCACAGAAGCGGCTGTTCACCGAAATCCAATCAACCAACGAGGGTTCAGCCTTGGAGCTTAGAATGATACCTACAGTAGCTTGACCCGTGAGTGCTGCATCCGCGTCTCTAAATGCGTGTAACCAATAACGAGAGGATAAGCCGGGTGCAGTCAATTCAGTAACCCAGCTAGGGTCATTAATCCTAGTTTCGGACACACAACACACATCATTACCCAGTGTGCCCAAGGTGCATGCGAGTGCAGCCTGTTGACCTAATTGTCTTAGAGTGCGAATGTTGAACGCCTCAGGGGAATCTGGACAGCGTGACCTTATAAGAGGTTGGTGCCGATAGGAATCCGATGGGTGTTGTGGCAAGCTGGCTGTAGATGGTTCTACTCCAGTGGCACTTCGGTTGCTGTCAATTAAGCTGGGAATTATGGAAGTAGGATTAGTCATGGGGTCGGGAGGGGAGTAAGAGAAACAGGTGGAAAAGGAAGGAGGCGCCAGCAGTAGCACATTTTCGCTTATCCGCCCTGCTGTATGTAGCAGATAAGGTGACCCTTGATCATCTGCTCGACGGCCGATGCAGAATGTAGTTACAGGTTGGTGAAAGTGACATGGTTGTAAGTGAGCTGAGATACTGAGAGGGCGCCCAGGACTAGACAGGAGGACGATAACGGTCGTCAACCAAATGCTTTGGCTCAAAAGCCTGTCCGCAAGGCAGGGGGAGGTGGCAATAATTTAGTTTTACAGAAATGGACGCTATCCCATTTCAAATCGCCAACCTGGAGGACCAGGAGACTGAGTTTGTCTGACCTCTCACCATTGACCAAGCGGGTAGGAGTAGCTCCCAAGGTGCCTGGAGACATTACCCAATATAGCTCAATGGGTCAATGAGGTACGCAAACCGTCGCACCACATTAAGATCCAGTCTCCTTGCGATGGAAAATAGCACGAGGCTCCAGATGATGTTTTCTTTAACTGATTTTTCGGTCTTCAACGCGACGAGAACTTTTGGCTTGAGTGTGACCATCTTACGACTACATCAAATATTGCTTTGACATGTGTAGTCCTGTTGAAACGATCTATCTAAGAGCAGATAAATTTTCATCACCGCTACTAAAGCGACTTGGAATGAGGAAAGAATAGACCTACAAGTGCAAGAATACCACCTGTGTCAAAAGCCTCACCACGGCAGGTAAATCCGAGATAAAAAGATTAAAGCAATTTAGACGTCGAAGCAGTTCTAGGCAACCATAACTGTCGCGATCTATGGGGGCTTCGGAAGCAGCTCTGTGGTAAGAACGTTTTCAACCAGAGAGGTGAAGTGGATGTGGATAAACTGAATTCGGAGTTTAGTTCCGCCTCACTGAGCTCATCTTCCTTGCCCTCCTTCATTAGCTCAAGTCCAGCCGCGCCCTTCGATCAAAGCAACGTCCACAAGGAACTCAAAAGATTAAAGGCAACCAAAGCTTGTGGTCCGGATGCTATCTGACCATTAGCTTTGAAGGAGTGTGCTAACTCTCTCACACTGCCTCCAACAGACCTCTTTAACAAATGCCTACCTACGGGTGTGATCCCGGACATTTTGAGAACGGCCAATATCACTCCAGTAACAAAAACTGGATTTAAAAAGTATCACCCAATTACATGTACATCTGCGCTCCTAAAAGTTTTCGAAAGACTGTTAATTCCGCGGATTTTTTCAGCCGCTCCCGAAGACGATATCTACCAGTTTGCGTATAGACCCCAGCGCTCCACTTTGGATGCCGTGGCATATGCTGCTCATTCTAAGCTTCTGCATTAGATCAAAAATCTAAAGCCCTACGGCTTCTCTTCCTGGATTATTCGAATACCTTTGGTAGCCTAAATAGGTCAAGGTTGCTAAACCTGCTATCCGAAAATGGAGTTCACCCTGGTGTGTATAATTTGTTACGTGACTATTTTACAGATCGTACTCACTTCACCAATTTGAACGGTAAGAAATCCTCTGTCCTCCGTGCCGACTGTGGTGTTCTACAGGGAGCGATCCTATCATCTTTTCTATTTTCCTTGTAAGTTAAACATCTCCATATACAGAACACGTTCATAGGGTATAAATATGCTGATAATGTTGTGCTGTATTGTATGTATGTGTTGTATGTCCCCCACTAACCAGGATTCCTCATCACTTCAACGTGGGTTGGAACATCTGGTGGAATGGTCTTCATCCAGATTCCTTACGCTTACTGTTTCTAAATGCAGGGATGTAATATTTTTTTTCTACGTGACGATAAGTTGCAGTCCCTCATAGATTTCTCCGCCACAGTTACCGTGAATGAAAATCCCATACCCAGCTCTTCCACCGTTAAGTATCTCGGCGTCTTTTTGTCCCAGAACCTTTCTTGGCCTCTGCATGTCTGAAAAAGTTTTCACAAAGTCAGAAAACTTTCTTTTTATGCCCTCAGACTTAAGGTGCTTTCAGTACCTCGTACTTTAATATTCAGGTTTGTGAACGCTGTTCTCCTGTCATTTTCCCCTACTGCTTCAGATAGACAACGTTTTACTGGTGCGATCTATTAACCACCTTTCTAGATGCAGCGGCTTGTCTAGAGATTCTTTACTTG